AGAGAGCCCGATGGGGGACTTGATCCCAGGACCCTGAGATCACGACCTGAGCTGAAGGCAGAGGCTTAATCCTCTGAGCTACCCAGGAGCCCTATCACTTTAAAAAGAGTTTCTCTGGGAAAGATTGATCTGTCCCTCTTTACCACAACCCTACAGTCCCTGGCAATAAGAAGGCACATGTCTCTCTGACTCTGGACTGTTCCCTTCAAGACAGCCCCATGGGCGGCCACTGGGTAGGGAGAAGGAGAGCTGGTTTGCGAGATGGGGGACTCGGGTGTCTGACCAGCCAGATCAGCATCAGCAGCCAGCTGTGAGAATATGCTGGGTTTTTTTTTAATTCAAGTGTTCACAAGGGGGAGAAACCAGCCCATAAAAGAAAAGGTTTTCGGGCTCCAGTCAGTGGCTATTCATTTCAAGGACTGAGATGAGTGCGACGAAATGTTAATGTCACAAAATGATTTCGACATCCCCGGAGCCTATGTGCCTGGCTACATCTTCAGTATTCTCTGGGGATATTCCCCTCTTTGTAATCCGCTACCACTGGAATAGTCTACACCAAATGTTAAGAATGCTTCCTCACCTCAAAACGCCCTCCCAGCAGCCAACTCCTAGACAGAGCTTGTACCATAAAACTGTTCCAACATGCCATAAACCCACCTGAGACCCTCAGCATCCGTATATGTGAGTGTATGTGTCAAAGGAGGCAGTTATTCAAAGAACCACCGTTTTACCCAGGATATGGTTCCTCCAGCAGGGATCCTAAGCCCCACACTGGGAATAGAGAAAGACAGGAGGACACACTCAGGAAATGGAGTCTGATGGACCCAAGTTCAAATGCTGAGGCTACCTCCTAGTTGTTAGGATCATAGACAAGTGAACTTCACCAAGGCTCAGTGTCCTCCTAAGTATTGAAGAAGCTAATAATAGCTTACTCATAAGTAACAAGAACAACTTCATCAGTTCATGTGAGGACAGCATGAATGATACATGTAATTGGGGGGTGGGGAACAGGTACAGTGGCTGGACTCTACCACCTACAGATAATACAGGTTCATTCAACACCCCTCCCTGTTCAAGTTCTAGTTCCCATGTGGCCATCTGTTTTCTGAATGCCTCTGAGCAATTCATTTCATCTCCAACCTCAGTGTACCCTTCTCTCAAATTAGGAGGTGGAACCTCTGAAGCTTCTAAAAGTCCTAGGATTGAGTCCAGTAAGGGGAGCTTGTTGTCTGCTTCTACTCCGAATACCCTTTGGTCCTCCTTCTTACAGTCTAAATCCCTCTTTAAATCCGTGGTACCAGTCCCTTCTAGTTTCTGGTTTGGGGATTTTTTTTTTCCCCCTCTGGCTCTGTTATCTTCGTCCACCCTAGTTGTTGAAAGTTATCTACAGGCCAGGGCTGCGTTACGAATGGTCTCAGCTTTATCACAGAATGCATCTGCACAACCATCAGGGGATATACTGTTATTATGATGCCCGTTTTACAAAAGAGAAAATCAAGGTTCAAGAGTTTAAGTAACTTACCAAAAGTAGGGAATTCAAAACTGGCTCTTCCCAGCTGCTTATAATCCTCATATGGTATCCTACCTTCCCATGTCTGGCTGTACCTAATTCGAGCTCTATCTTCTTATGACCCTGTGCTGTGCTAGCTTATCTCATAAATCATTTTACATTAATAACTTTGTGTCACACCCGCCATGTGACCAATGCACGAATTAACCAGGACCCATCATCTCTGAACCAACAGGGAAGTCATGATGGGATTCTCAGGCCCCGCAGCTGGTAGGTCAAGGTAAGATTTTAGACAGGCAGGACTTAAATACAGCTTTCAAATAATAGCACATGGTCAAACAGCTACTCAACTTCCATATGAAACTGCTGAAAACTACTGTGTTTTAATTCAAGCCTGAAGTGCAACCTTCCAGCTGCTTCAAGCCCATTCAATAAAGCAGAGTAGTAACAGAAAAGGGCTCACACCTTGGGGCCAGACAATCCCAGGTTGAGTAGTCAAGTGAATCTGAGTGGGTTTCTCTGATAACCTCGCTGAGCTTATTTGTTAAACGACCTTGGGTAAGTCACCCCAGCTGAGCTTCAGGTCCCCAATCTGGAAGATGGGATAACAATGCCAACCTTAGAGGGATGACACAGGGACAGAAGGAATGCCTGGCCTGTGGTGGAAATACAGGAGCCTGCTGGAGAAGAAAGGAGCTGGGGGGATGGTCAGATCGTTTCCAATGATTGGGATAGTCTAAAGCAGAAAGATGGAAATCAATAAGAGGTTCTTTGAACTTGAAGTGTCTTCCAAAATCTGTAACGACCCATGCCAATGAGAGTTGGATGCCCTCTTAAGACAAAAGCCCCAGACCGATCTGACCCCTGACTCCATTCTGCTAGGTCATCTGGCAACGGTTGCTAGAAGCACTTTCTTCAGGTGTGAGGCTTCCGTTGAGCCAAGTGGCAGAGCGTCATCTCACACCCTCTCTCACTCTGAGAGCACCATAAGGTTGCCAGGGTAACTGAGCAATTCTGGTCCTTCCCTATGGGATCCCAACTTTATCCATATCCCATGGGCTCCCTTTGGCCTCGTGTTCTACACTCTCTGCTGAGGCCTCCTGCTTCTGCCACACAAGATCAGAGGGGAAAAGAAAAGAGAAGGAACTGACCGTACAACTGGACCTTAGCATTTTATTTCCTTATCATTTTATTTCCTTAGTTACGGCACATTTCCATTTACAGAGTACTTTCCCTTATAAAATCTCCCAGTGTTGACTTCTAATCTACTAAATAACTCCTCTGACCTCTTCTTGTTTTTACCCTTTAAATATCTGTTGATGGTCCATTCACCACATTCCCCATTCAGTTATTAATGGCCCACAAAAACTTACTAGCAGCAATCATTTACTGATTAATCTGCACAACAATCCAGAAAGACAGGTAGTATTAATCCTTAGGTCTGCAGAGGGAAACCAAGGGGAAAAGAGAGGTTAACTCAGTTGCCCAAGGTCAGTGGCTAAACAAGATGATAACCAGGTCTATCCTGTCTTGTACTTCTATAAACACTTCCCACAGTGCTAGTCCCTTTCTTTACAAATCAACATTAACAAGGCAGCTAGATCATTTCTGCATTGAGATTCAGTTTCACAGAACAGTTTAGGACTGTCATGATTCAACCTCAAGTTATTCAGCCTGCTAACAGTTCATAAATAAAAGTTGCTAAAATTAAGAGAGAATAGTACTTGAAAGCCAATTTTACAAAGGCAAAAGAGAAGTGAAAAGATCTGGCTTACAGACCCAACTCGGCCACAAGCAGACTCAGAGAGTCATTTAACTTCTCTGTATCTCTGAGTTATCTATAGAAATGAGATTATGCTGAATGTTATTTAAGGTATCCTGCTGTTTAAAACTAGATGACTGAGTAACCACTAAAACAGCACAAAATATAAAGCTCCAATACCCAATGCTGTCACGATCATCCTTACATTGGTGTATCCATTCATTGTTTAGTAAACTACATGGCTACAATCCCCTTGGAAAGCAAGATGCCGACACACAGCAAAAACCATAAAGAATTTCATATCCTTTTACTTAGTAATTTAATTTATACAATATTTTACCCTAAGAAATAAGTCAATTGAAGCAAAAAGACATATACAAATGAAAATGCAAATTTCAGTGCTAGGTATCAGAGAGAAATTATCAATATCAATATTCATTTTTAGAGGAATTCCCTCATTAAATAAAAGCACAGAACAATATTAATGTCATGTTGCTATTTAAAAGGACGAACATGAAAATTATGCAAAGTTGTTGAAAATCATGTCAATAATATTCAATGAAAATAGCCAGAAGTAAAAGACCAGATACATCTTCAGATGCCAACTACATAAAATGTGGCTAGATGGGCAAGGTCAGGGGAAAACTGAAAATAGTTATGTTAGTAGTTAGGCTTAGTTTTAAAAAATATTTTAACTGTTAGTAATGAATGCTGTTTTTCCATTCACACAGACATTTTATCATTTCATCAATTATTCAAAAATTTCTCAGCCACTGCTTTAGTCTGATGCAAAATGAATTTTAAACTTTCTGCCTAAATCTCCTGAGTAATTTTTATTGACTGACATATTATTCATGACATTATTCTTTCAGCATGATTTCTGCTCTTTACTATATAATTCTTTAGTGTCTTTAGAGATTCTAAAATCTCAGAACCCTTGCCTTCTTTTCCTCACCTAAGAGGATTCTTTTAAAACATGTCAGGGGAAAAAAAAAAAAAAAAAGATGTGTCATCTAATCTAGCTACGAATAACCCCATGATTGCCTTGAAATGCTAATATTTGGCAACTGTCTGACCCAGGAGCACATATTTTTCCATAACCCTTGACCTACGGGTGCCTCTACAGTAACCACAAAGTTGTCATTATCCTTTTCTTGGTGTATCTAGGGTGGTTTCACATTCCAAGTTTGGGGAGCTTTACAGCAAGACAACTTATCATGTCAGGAGTTTTAGGGGCCCCATTGGTTCACTTAGGAAAGCTGCCCACAAAAGCAGCACTGTGCTAGGACCCTCCCTTCATAGAAAGACTTTCACAGCCTCCTCCACTTCTTAGAAATGTTCTCTTCCTAGTAGGTCATTTGTACATCTTTGCTCATAATATCTGGGAAAGACTGCAGAGCCAATGAATTAAAAATATGATTCTAGGTCTCATGTGTGCCAATGAATGCCCTCATTAAAGCAGCATGAGTGAGATGAGATGGGTTTCAAAGCTTTCCGTCCCTTTGCCCCAGAGCCGCTGAGGCCAGGCACTGAAAGGATGCACAGTAAAATTAAATATCTAAAAATTCATCTTTAATTAACAGAATTGGATTAAAGCTAGACACCACCGCATATCATACGAGAAATGGCTGAGCTGGCTTCCAAGTGCTCTAATTCAATTAGGACGCAGTGAGTGACACTCGGACGGGAAAGGTTAATTGGGGGCGCCAGAACGCAATCATTCCTTACCTAACCAGTCATTAAACTTCTTAACCTCTGAGGGTAGTCCCAGCTCGGTGAAATCGCCTGTGTGGAGAAGGATGTCCCCATAAGGCATCTGGATACCATCTGTTCTGGAGTGCGTGTCTGAGATGCAGACAAACCGCGTGTGGCCCGCTGGTTTTGGAGTGTCATATGGGATGGGGTCGACCCTAAAGTAGACATAACAGATCCCATAACAGTTAAATATATTAGAACCCTTGTAATTGTCATTGCACATACATATCGACGGTTATCTGTGAACGCACCCAGATAAACTGATGCAAAGGCAGAGGCGGCCGTTGCAACAAGGGAAACTTTGGGGTTCACAGGAGAAAGCATCCCCCATCTACGACCCCACTGACCAAATTCAAAAAGGCTTACTTACCTGGGAGGAGAATGAAAAGGAAAGAATAGCTTACATGTAAAATCAGAAATAACCTAGGAAAGGGATAGAGTGATTAATGGTGAAGTTTAGGGATACTGAACCCCAACTGGGGAAGCAAAATTATGCTATTTTCTCTCATCATGCTCCAATTGATCCCACTACTCATTAAGAAATGGATAACTACATTTATTCCTTCTTAAACATGCATAACTTAAGCAGTGAACTAATTTACAGACAACACTCTGCACATGCTTTGCCAACTGAGATGTGGAGAGATATAGATAGAACTTATATTTAATTTCCTTTCCGCAACCATTCAATACCTGTATCTTCTCGTCTTTGCTAAGACATTCACAAATCCAACGGTGGGGAGAGAAGGGGATGTCAAAATAACAGGACTTAAGAGAGAAACACTGAATGTTAAAAGAACATTGTTAAGCTCCTTCTTTACCACCATGAATTATCTGCAGTCCCAGGTACACCTCAGGTGACTTGCAGCACTCAAATGCCTTGGGCAAAGATTCTATTCAGTACAAACAGTAAGCCTTTTAATGGGTGTGTATAGATCTACATATGCATTAATATATGTATAGTTTTAGAGACCTAAGCACTGTGAAATTACACTAGGGCATAAGAATCAAAAGGCAAAATGATCAACCCCAAGCAAAGAAAATGAAACAGAACAGTCTCATTTAATTGAGTGTAACAAAGTGTGCTAAATAAACTTGGTAAAGAAATGCAAATCTGACTCTTCAAGCATACAGTTTTAATTATTTAAGGGGTTTGTAGCAGAGTTAAGGGTGCTTTAACTATATTAACTCTACCCTGACAGCCTCCTTTAATTTCTCTGTAGGAATGTACACTTATTTTGGATTATGGGTGAAAAGCAGCAGTTATAAAGGCAAAGAGAAGGTCACAAGAAAGGCAAATATGCAATGCGGAGATCAGAGTGTGAAACATTAAATAAGGAACAATATTTCATGTCACAGCCCCACCCTTCCTCGTTAACATGCAGCAGAGAACACGCTGAAAGCTCACCACGAGATTCCCTACATGTGTTACCTCCACAGGCTTTGTTTAATTTTTCTTTCTTTTCCCCAGTTTTCTAAAAGAAACCATCTGTTTTAACAATGGCAATTTTAGTGAGGAGAATAAAGACATCGATAGACAACCTGGATAGTCCTGAATTTCTTTAACAGGTAATCTTTTAATGTAATTTTCTCTTTGTCACAGGAGAAGGAGAGGAAGTAAGAAGAAAGGAGAGCAAGAAGAGAGGAAAGAGGGAGGAGAGGGGGAGGCACCGTGAACTGGTTAACGCAGTGGGTCTAACTGGAAACCCAAAAAGTTTAACTTTGCAAAAAATTAATGAATTTTTCCTGTAAAGGCTAGAAATTAATAACGCTATTACCATGGAGAATATTCACTGATCCACTGAGATCTCATGAGTAACCTGGAAACCCTTCTGATTATATCCAATGTTTACTCTTCTATATACATGGAAGTGTTTGGTGTCTTCCCTTCCATTACTGAGACTCTATTACACTCAGTCTTAGTGGTTCCAGTCTCGTCAATATCTCCTGTCTTCTAAAAGCAGTTTCCCTAGAGAACGAATGACTGTTCTCTGCAGCAGACTGGAAGGGAAAAGTGAAAGCGATCGTAATATTCTGTTTCCATGTCAAAAGTTAAGATGCTCCCTGGAATTGGACTGTGCACACTGATGCTTAATCCACCAACATTTGAATCAAAATTAAATAAATATCAACCACTGGACTTCTAAATACATGAATAATTCAAATACTCATATATGCATATACATACAGACATAAGTACATCTTTATTTTCCAGTTCCCAACCTAATGGGAATATACAGACACAGTCTCTATTTCCTCTTTTCTGTAACTTAGCTGACCTCCAGGCACAACTACTACATCGAAATCCTTTACACATCCATCACTTATCAAAGGGACATGCATTATAGTTATCATTTTGAATTTATGAGAAAGTAGCACAGATATAAACCCTTCACTGTGAACAGGCCCCTATTCTGTGACTTCTTCTCAGTTTAGAGAAGCAGATCGTTCTCTGGTACATCATGTTCTGGTTCCCATCTTAGTTCTACACTGGGCAATAACTTTCAGAGGCCACTGACAAGAACACCAATTTTAAGTGGCTTCCACTTCCCGCCCCACCTTCCCATGTCCTCCAGAGAAACATTTAAATGTCCAACAGAATTAACAGCGAAAGAAAGGCCACAAAATAGAAAAATAGAGGGGAAAGGGAAAAAGGAGAAAATGCATCTGCTTAGCTTTGAGCTGAAATAAAATGAGTCAAAAGTATACAGGAAGAGAGGCGCCTGGGTGGCTCAGCAGGTCAAAGCCTCTGCCTGAGGCTCAGGTCATGATCCCAGGGTCCTGGGATCGAGCCCCGCATCGGGCTCTCTGCTCATCGGGGAGCCTGCTTCCTCCTCTCTCTCTCTGCCTGCCTCTCTGCCTACTTGTGATCTCTGTCAAATAAATAAATAAAAATCTTTAAAAAAAAAAGTATACAGGAAGACTGTCCGAGAAGGCTCACCACCAAGATCACCAACTTGATGTTACCAGAGAGAATCAGGTGGATATTTAAGAGCGATATGGAGGACTGATTCAAGGTAGAGGCTTGGGGGAGGTATAAATAGGCAAATGCAGAAGTTATGTATATCCTCTGACCCAGAGACACGGATGTCCTTTGTTACCCCCCAGGACTCAAAACAAGGCAAGAGACGGCTTCAGGAGACAAGACAGCACAGCATGTCAGAGGCACGCTGCAGGACAACATGACAAATATCACCCGGGGGGTCGCAGGAAGGAAGACACGTCCACCCAAAGACATTCAGAGTTGAAAATATGACATCCAGCAGAGTAGGCAAGTTGCAACAGATATAATTAAAGTTGAGACAACCCTCGGGAAACTACTATTTCCAAATTGGGCATTTGGTAAATGCTTTGGAAATAAAAGTCAAGGCAGTCAAATATTTTCACCGTAACAGCACTTCTAAGGGAGACCCCGACTACCAATAGGTCTACCTGTTCACATTGTACGAAGACCCACAGACTACATTTTCCGTCTTAGTTAACTTCACTGCTTACTGTTTATGCTGCTGACTTCTCAAATGATCGACCATTTCCCCTAAGGCATCATGTCAAGTATCCTAGCAAGTGAGTATCTTACCAAGGCAATCTAACCCCCAGAGCCAGATTCAAATATCACTGTGAGATTTGCACGTACATTTGAGTACACCCAGGGGAAAACAAGATGACATGGGAAGATGAGAAGAAAACACAGCATCATAAAATCCCAGCACTGGACAAAACCTTAGCAGGCATTGGGTTCAATGTTTCTCGTTTTGTTTTGTTTTGTTTTAAGATCTTATTTATTTATTTGACAGAGAGAGACACAGCGAGAGAGGGAACACAAGCGGGGTGAGTGGAAGATGGAGAAGCAGGCCTCTCGCTGAGCAGGGAGCCTGATGCGGGGCTTCATCCCAGGACCCTGGGATCAGGACCTGAGCCGAAGGCAGACACCTTACAACTGAGCCACCCAAGCGCCCCTGGGTTCAATGTTTTACACGAAGCTTGAATCTCTTTTACCCCATCTCTGCCTAACTGACACAAGTTTTCTTCCCAAGGTTTCCAGAGAAGGAGAGCTCCTGAGTTCCCTTCTCTTCTCTGGGGCTCCCCATTCTGGTTTTCTCAACAGTTCTACTTGCTAAAAAGTTTCTGATTCAGTCTACATCTCTACAGGCACACAAAAATCTGAGCATGGTCCAAAGAGATTGGCCCAGAGCCTGAAAATGAACAATGTTGGCTGAGGTATTTGCTTCTGGCAAGTCATTTCATTCTTTGGGGCTTCACTTTTTTTTTCTCATCTGTAAAATGGGAATAGTAACGCCTAATCTTCTATGTTGCTAGGAGGATATAAATCGTCCAATACTGGGTCTGGCACATGGCACATTCTCAGAAAGCAAAGACACAGAATGACCTAAGAGTGAAGCAGGCCTGACTATCTGCTTTGACTCTCACTCCAGATTTATTAACAGTGTGACACCAAGCAAGGGACTTAACTCCTGTGTCTTGGTTTCCTCACCAATAAAATGGATATAAAAATAGTACCTCTCCCAAAGGATTGTTGTGAGGATAAAAAGGTATCATGTACTCAAAGCATTTAGAACAGTCTGACACAGAGCAGACACTCAGTAAGTGGTTTTTGGTTTTTTACTAAGTGGTAATATTTTTGCTACTCTTAGTAGAAGTAGTACCTTTTAGTTTCTCTGACATCCATCTCTTCCGCTACAAGGAGGTAACAGCGACCACACTGGGACTTTCTGAGAGTTAAAGGAGGTCACAAACCCAACACCCAGCACAGTCGGGACACATACCCCACAGTCAATAACTACATTGATATTTTTCCTCTTATTTTCTTCTTTCATCCCAATATTCTGCATGTGAAATACCAGAGAATAGGAGAATAGTCCCCTTTTCACTTTGGCAGTTCTTCAAATATTTGAGGACAAGTACCATAACCCCCTAATATCTTCTCCACTCTAATTGAGGAGCCCTGGTTTCTTCAGCTCTCCTTGTGTGTTTAGATTTCCAGTGCCCACAGAGCCCTGCTGGTCTCCTCCTCCACACGATCCAGCTGGTCTGAACACCTCCCGGGACAGTGTCAGAATTTGTGGACCTGTGAATTCATGGGCCAGTGAGCTGTATATCAAAGACAAACGCTTTTAGGGGTGGTGGACAGATGACA